TTTGAGAAAACTCAAAAGATTATAGAAAGCAATTCTAAACTAAACTCAAATTGTATTTAACTTTTAATTTCCTTTTTTAATTTATTTCATTTACTTTCCTCTCTGAAAACAAATGTTAGTAATTTTCTACTTCACAATGTTCTATTTATATATAAGTGGCTTCTTTAAAGTGTTGTCAATAGATGGAACATAACATGCCAGAACCTCTGGAAGCACATTTCTGGTATTTCATCTAAAGTGCTGCACATCCCTAATTTTCACCTTTATCTTTTTGGTATGTTTTTTTCCTGAAAGATGCTCCTTAGTATTCCCCAGAAATCAGTTTAGCAGTGGCACATGTATGTGTTTGAATACTAGTACTCTGGGCTCTTTAGGTTAAAGCAGAGCTTATTCTCTTTTCATTCATTCATTCATTCATTCATTCATTCATTCATTCATTCATTCATTTGATTTCAAGGCTATCCAACTCCAAAAGACTCTGAGAAACTTATAATTTTAAAAGTATATTGTACATAATATAAAAACATCATCACTCAAACCTAGCCATACAAATAACCAAAAATAACAAGTACTTTGACCCAGGCCTGACAACAGAATCAAATCTTCACAGACCTACAAAACATTTAAAGGATGAGAACCATATGTATCTCTAAGGGGGTTGCTATTCCAGAGGGTGGCAGCAGCAACAGAGAAGGTATACTTCCTCCGTCCCACAGCATGATAATATTTAGTCAAAAAAAACCCCAACAACCCTAGAATGTACCTATTCTGCCCAATTGTGCTGTAGTAAGAAACATCCATTACTATCTGCACCTCTGCTTTTGGCCCCTGCTGTAGCTCCCAGTTGATCTTCAAGGATAGCCCCATGTGGATCATATTGCAATAGTCCAGTCATGAGGTATCTAGGGTATGGGTGACCATCTGAAGAACCTCCCAGTTGCAGAAAAGGTACAACTGCATATGAGGTGGGCCTGTGCAAAAGCCTTCCTAGCCAAGCTGCAATTTACTCTTCAAGAAGTACAGTAATTACAGATTTAGGAGGACCCCTAAATTATATACTAGTCTCAAATAGGGAAATGCAATCCCTTCCAATCTCAGGTTTGAGCCTGATTCTGTTTTTCTTCATCCTAACCCAAATAGCCTTCGGACATCACATTTGTACATTGACAGAGTCACATGCACAGTCTGAAGTTTTATACAATTGAGTATTGACCCCCCAAATTGAGAGATCTCACCGAGTAGTTTGATTTAGTTGTTAAATAAGAGGAGTGAGAGAGTCTAGTCCTGAGATAGCCCCCCTCCAATGGGGGGCTGTAGGTTTTACGTCTTCTCCATCCTTAGTGACACTGATCAGAACCAATCAGGAGAAGAAGGCCAAAGACTGTAGCAAAATACCCGCAACTCCTGAGCTCTGCATCAAGTCCACAAGGATACCATAGTTGATGGTACTGGAAAATATTGAGATCAATGAACACAATGTTGCATGCATCATCTCCATCCCAGCTCCATCAAAGGTAATTAACAAGCATGACAAATGCTATTTCGATATTGTATCCTGGCCCAAGATCTGTTTGGAATGGATCCCGATAATCCATCTTCTCCAAAACCCTCAGCAGCTGCTATTAAACTACTTTCCCTTTGACCACAAAGGGAAATCCAGAATGAAAGGATCTAGTGATGACCTCCTGAAAAGGGATCATACCACTGCCTCCTTCAAGGCCAGAGGAACTCTTCTCAAGAAGCTTAATCACAACCCAATCACAGGTCACTTCTTGGGCTGCCTTGACCACCCAGCAGGAGCATGGATAGAACAAATAAAGAGCCAGAGTCACAGTTCAGAGGACCTTATCCATGTGACCAGGATTTACAGAATCAAACTCAGTCCAGATAACATCATAGGATGATGTCCCAGGCAGCTCATGTGTACTTACTCAGACTCCAAGATTGTTTTTTGTCAGAATGCATGACTATTCCACACCACTGCTCTACAAATGCTCCTCCTATCTGTCTGTCTCTCCTATCTACAAATGCAATAAAGGCTGAGAAATAATGTTGCTAAGCCACACTTGTCCCAAATATCTCCCAGGGCTTAATAGATATAAATCCCTTCTTCTCATACTACCATTTGCTTCATTATCATGAGATGTCTCATTTCTTCTTTCTAGTGTGCAGAACAATTAGCATTTCAAAGAAAGCTGCATTTTGGCATTTAGACATTTTTGAAAGCTTAAATTTGGAGTTAATGGCAACATTCAGTTTCCATCCATTGTTTCTTGTCCTGCCTTCTATTGCTTTGGAGAATAGGTTGACCCCCTTCCAGTATTGGAACACTGCTATCATGTCACCCCAACAGTCAAAGGGGTGACTGTTGATCCCTTTGAAATAGATGACTTTTAAAGGACCATTTCTCTGTTCTTTGCTGATTGTCCTCTTTGCAGCCTTCATTATCCTTCTGGAAACATGACATTATTTACCAAATCCTTGATGTGTCTTTAGGTAACAGTCATTTAAGAATCTGGCAAGAGTTTTTCTTATAAAACCCAAGCTCTATATTTATTGTTTTTACCACTTCACTGTATAGTATTCTAAGTGGCTCCCTGGTAGCTTCCTTTCCCAATAAAGCATCTTTCCTATTTACTTTTTCATATAGTTCTATGCATATTGCAACAGAAGAACCTGTCCACTAACTCCTGTATCTTATCTTGAGTAGATGTATATCAGATTGCACTTTATTTATGTTGCGAATTTAAGCAGGTTGCCCGAAGAAGACTTAAATACTATTCAAGATTTTGCCAAGCTACCAAATGAATGGATTTAATGAGAATATAATCTAAGCTAACATTAATAATGTTAAGCTATGCCTGAGGATAAACTGAGGCAATGTAATTTTATTTGAATAATTCATAGTAATGTTTAACTGCGGCATGTATTAATGGTAGCACTATAACAGGCTAAGCGTTAAGTGTACATTGTAAAAATAAATAATTTTATCAAGACATGTTGCCTTGGTAAACATATTGCAGCTCTCAGTTTACATGACTAGCATGTGGTCTGTTTCAATGCTGGATTTGGTAATTTAACATTTGATTTGATATATTTAACAGAAGATTCCTATTTTTTTCCACCAAATTCCATTCACAGTAGAATTCAGCAGTGTGCCATTCTCTTTCTTTCTTATTCCTATTATATACTGAAGAGAATGTATGATTTTAATAGCATTCAACTCTCCACTAGATCCAAGCAAATTTATTTCAGTCCTGAAAGTTGTTTTAAGTATAATATATTGAATTTCAGAGACATTTTCCACAAATATTTACAGCACACATCATATGCTTTAATAATAAATTAAACATGGACATGCTAGGATTAAATAAAAGGGTTGAAAGTTATAAAACCATTTGTTATAGCTGTCATTTGGTTGTATGTGTTAGTTAAGTTTTTTTCCTTTTCCCAATGTTCTTTAAAATTTTCTAGGTGTCTAAAGGCATTTTTAATTTAACATGTTAATATATACCATTCAAAGGAAAAGGTCTTTTACAGTGACTGCTGACATTCCAAAAATGCAGTAAGACAGTACTGCAAAAGTTTAACTGTTTTAGGTCAGATGGATGTCAGCAGGAGAGGCAGAAGTATTTTGACACTTAATTCTTCCATTGACAAGAATACCCTCTAAAAGATTATTAGAGCCTAGGAGGGGTCTTTTACTCTTTTGTTCTCCAATTAGCTTTTGCTAAGTTTGCTATTTTTACTGGTAAGCTTCTGTGTGAACTGGACTCTCTACACTTTTTATGAAAATAAGAATAATAATTACAAGGCAGTTTCCTAATAAATACATTTAGGCAATTATTTCCTAGAATTATTTAGTTTCAAGGTACAGTTAGGAGTAATAATATATCATATCATTTACTAGGGATTGTATTTACTTATTGTCTTACTCACTTACATGCTGCTTCAGATGCAACTGTTCTCAATATATTGTTTTTCTATTATCCAAGAGTTGTGTTAATTAAATCCAGAGTGACATGCTAGCTGTTAAGGGTGGCAAAAGTTAAAACTTAACTTTTCAAGCACAGCAAATCTATATTTGATTTAAAGTACGTGCTGTTTAAATTAGTTTACAGAAAGCCATCCTTTGGGATTACGTATAAGCATCAGCCCTGGGCCTGAGACATCTTTCTTAATGAAATGGGCAGCACAACCATCCCAGGGGTTCCACTGCAAATGAATGAGAAGACTGAGCATGAATTAAACAGTGTTTTTCAATGTAGCGGAGACTCTACTGCCCACAAATTGATCAACACTTTTGAAATGGAATATAATACAAAGCCGAGAGAGAAACAAAGATCTCAAACGCTAAGCATTAAAGAAAGAAAGAACTATCTTTAATGGCAGATCATATTTTGGAGGGAGCTGTTCATGTTGTCTGCTTGCAGAATGAATTCGAATGACCAGCAAGGGGCCATACAGTACCATTATCAGTTATTGCTGTTATAGGTTATAATTGCAGAATTGTTGAATTATTTAATATAAACTGAACATTATGTACTTCAAAAACACATAGGGGAAATGATCTTTGGGGCTGTTAAGCTTTGGGGAAGATTTGTTCTAAGCCTAAATTGTGAGTATCCCCTGAAGTAGGATGTCAGCAGGTTTCAGAAGAGCTTCACTGATCTGACTTTTCAGAATCCTTAAGTATTTATTATGCTATTAGAGTTTATAGTAGAATTTAGGTAGGGCTGATCTAATACACGTCCTGTTTTGACCAGATAGTTAGTACTGACAGGGCCAAAACTTTACCTAGCAACAGAAGAGGCCAAATCCGTCATATGTTCTTTTTCCATTGGGACATTACAATTGTCAATACCATGCCTGCAAATACCCACTATGCAGAAATCATTTATTTTCTTTATTAAGATACGTTATATAGAACACTTTTCAGCTCTTTCGGGAATGTTTTTGTCATAGTTTTTTCCAACTTTGTTTCTATCTTTCTTTAATAGTCAGAGCTATCTGCAAGCTACAAGTGAAGTGCCTGGTGGCCATACCCTGGATCCTTCGGCAAACTACAATTCCCCTAAGTTTCGATCAAGGAATCAGAGCTATATGAGAGCAGTAAGCACACTCAGTCAGGCCAGCTGCGTTAGCCAGGTTGGATTCTTTTTCCTGTTATGCATTTTACAATAATATTAATAATTATAGGGTTTTAAAGAACAAATTCAGGAGTTTGACCATGTATCCCAGGCTTATAATCAATAATTTCTACTGGTTATTTTCCTAAGCTGAAAGCTTTGTTTATGTGCAATTTTATAAGATTTTGTGACAGAAACCAGAAGAGTCTCAGGCTGCTTACACACTGAAGTTTGTAAATAGTAGTTTCAATGGCTTTACACATACACCTAACAAGAACAATTCATAAGTGAAAAAAATAAATTGTAGATACCAATTATCTGCTCCCTTACTGTATATTTTATGGCAAATACTTTCTTTCTTTGATATCATATATGTGAAATAACCCACTGAGTTAATACATCCTTAAGTCAGTGTTTCCACTGCACTAACAGTAATTTACAATATATTATAAGTACAAACAATTAGATTGCGCTCATTGATACCTGCACTTATATCTACAAAGTCACAAATAAAGAAACATTTTTTTTGTTAACTACTTTAAGAAAAAGCTGAATTGGAAACTTAAAGGGAATTGTGAGCCTGTGAGCCATGGGTGAAATGCTCCCGGTTCGGACCGGATCGCCCAATCCGGTAGCGATGGCGGTGGGTGGTTCAGAGAACCGGTAGCAAAAATCCCTGCACCACCCCCCACCATGCCCAGCTGAGCCGCGCGATGATCAGAGGCTTTTTTTTTTTACCTTTAAAAGCATTTTTTCTACAATCTCTTCTGACGAAAAAATGCTTTTAAAAGTTTTTAAAAAGCCTCTGATGATCACGCGGCTCAGCTGGGATTGTCAGAGGCTTTTCAAAGCATTTTTTTCTGCAACTTCTTGGCCGAAGAAGTGGTAAAAAAAAATGCTTTGAAAAGTCTCTGACGATTCCAGCTGAGTTGCCTGATCGGCAGAGAGGCATTTTTTAAAAAGCCTCTCTGACGATCCCAACTGAGTTGCCTGATCGGCAGAGGCTTTTCAAAGCATTAGAAAAAATGCTTTGAAAAGTTTTTTTTTTTAAAAAGTTGGCCACACTCACCCAGTCACCTTACCCCCACCACCAAGCCATGCCCACAGAACCAGTAGTAACAAATTTTACATTTCACCCCTGCTGTGAGCCATATGTATTTTCAGAGCCCCATTTTTGCAACTACGTTGTCTAAAATCTACCCCAAGTTTGGGAAATAATCCATATAGATTCAGTGGTATAATTTTTCACATTTTAAAGGAAACCACAAATTAAAGTGGATTCATCATACTTTTTGCAGGCATAAACCACATCCATTGACTTTGTTCCTAGATCAATAAAACACTAGAAAGATCTTTCTCATCCAAGGACACCATCAATATTTCTCCCAAAGCCATATTCCTCCAGTCCTTGTGTGACTTTCAAGAGAATCATGTTCTATAAGACAGGTCTCTGCAATCCAAAGCCACATAATGTTAAATTTTGGTGCATCTGGTTTTGGTATCCCTTTCATATTTAGGTATAAAAAATAAACTGGAGTAAGAATGTTCTTTTTTTTGTAGGGGGCATGGTGGCCTAGTGGTTTAGACACTAGGCTGTTGACTGGAAGGTTCCCAGTTTGAAATCCAAGTACCATATGACTGAGCGAGCTCCAATTCTTGCCCCAGCTCCTGCCAACCTAGCAATTCTAAAGCATGCAAACGCAAGTAGATAAATAGGTACCACTTCAGTGGAAAAGTAACAGCAGTCTGTGTGCCTCAGCTTATAGTCATGCTGGCCAGTTGACCACAGAAAGATCTTTAGACAATGCTGGCTCCCTCAGCTAAGAAACAGAGATGAGCACCGCCACCTACAGTTGGACATAACTGGACAGGAGAAACCGTTATCTTTTAACTTTTTGAAATGTTTTTTGTATTTATTCAATCACTTTCTGTTTAACATTGCTAGGTAGTTGTTATATTGAATACCTGAATTCCAACAGGTCCAGTTGTTATTGCCCACCGTTACTATAACAGGCTTAACAGTTGGAATAGCTATAGTTAGGAAAATCTGAGCAGCATGGGAGAAACGGATTCTTACTAACCTTATGCTGCTCTTGTACAAGAATCCCAGCAGCTACTGATGCTATAGAGACTATAGTTTTCAGTGCTGTAGATATATACAGAGCTGGTTTGCAGAGCCATGGCAATCAGCAATTCCTCCTCTTCCTCCTTTCTTTTGCAAGGCTAAACAGAAAATGTAGCCAGCACCATTCTAGAATCTTATGCTGCATAGAAGGACTACTACCTTCTGCCCTCTGGGACACCAAGATTTATCCAAGATTTGTTCCCCCCTCCCCCCGGCCCTGTTTAAACAAGCCCTTGAAACCTAGCTTTTTTCCCCTCCAGGATGTGGGTTAGATAGAATGGGACGTTTCAGCTGTTTGGCTTTTTTTTAACTTATTTTCTCTGGGTTCTCTTTTGCTGTTATTTTGGTGCTTTGACTGTACTTTGTAAGACAGAGTCATAAGAAATTGGAGCAAAAATACCATATTATTCGGTGTATAAGATGCATTTCCCCCCCCCAAAAAAAGTGGGTGGAAATGTCTGTGCGTCTTATACAACAAATGTTGCCAAAGCCCCGCCCACCCACTGGCCCCCACCCACCAGCTGGAACAGCTGATAGGTGGTATTCCAGGAGCAGGGCCGGATTTAGATGAAAAGAGGCCCTAGGCTATTCCACTTATGAGGCTCTTTCACCTATAGTGAAAGTGTAATTTTAATTTTGCTAACAATTTGAATGTAGGCCCCTCTTGATCTTGAGGCCCCCTCTTGATCTTGAGGCCCTAGGCTGAAGCCTAGTTAGCCTTTAGGAAAATCCGGCCCTGTCCAGGAGGCAGATCCAACCGCCAATCAGCTGCTCATGCTAAATCAGGCTGTGCTGAAGCTGACTAGGCTGTTTGCTGTTTGCTGCAAGGAGGCAATTTGCTGGGAGGCAGAGGAAGAGGCAGATTTTTTTTTCTTGTTTTCCTCCCTAAAAGCTAGGTGCGTCTTATAGTCCGGAGCATCTTATAGTCCGAAAAATACGGTAAATTGATCAATCACAGATTCTCTTGAGTTATATGACCTCATAACAATTTTGTATTATTAAATATCAGAGGAATGAATGATAATTCATTTTCTGTCATATTCCAATTATAGCCTACTGGCTATAATCTATATTCCCCACTTGGTCATGGTTCTATTTTAAAAATAAGGCTAGTGTCAGATCTACAAGGTAGACCAGACTAGGAAACCAAGACCCTATCGATCAAGACTACTTTGATTGTAATAACTATAGTAATAGAATCTTGCAAGTCTGAATGTAGTTCCCTCTCCCTCACTTTGTCTTCATGAGAACTAGGCACGGGCTTGTCTGAGAGGTTTTCTCAAGTTATTTTCTTAGCCCCTACTCAAGGCCTACTTATCTGACTATTGCCTTGGTAGTGACTCTTCCTCCTGTGCTTCAAGGCCGTTCCCTATACCCTCTGGTATGACAAGAGAAATGCTATGTCCACATGGCATTTGGTGATTGCTAGGTATATCTTCTACCATTTCTGCAGAAAACCAAAGGACAATACAAGCTGAGGGTAATGCAGGTTTGATAGAAACTGTTCTTCCTCCCCATCTTATGCATTCTTTGTACCTCTATAATAAAGCATCCATCTATACTGCAGAAAAGGGTAATATGCCATTTTTGTTCTCCCCTTCAACAGAAAACAAAGATCCTTTCTGCTAGCAGATTGGGTTTGTAAGTGAGGAAATAAGACATTCCTCTTCATCATACTTATAATTATGCAAGTCCATCTTTCTTTCTTAATAAATTTTTCTTTGTTTATATCAAACAATTCAAAATAAGAATGTTTGTCTTTCCAGAGTGCCTTTAATACAATTAGTATTTATTTATTTATTTATTTATCAATTTTTTTTGTCGCCTGATTCCCTATGGGAGAATTGAAATAATAATTGCAAGCACTGAAAATAATTGTTTTCAGACCAAATTCATTGTGGAGGTATACTTATGGAGCATGACTATGTGTGGGTAGATACACCTCACTGAAATTATTTAATTAACAATACAGTACATGTTTAATCAACTGCTTCTTCATATTGGCATAGTTCTAGCAATATTACTGGGGTGAGGAGCAAAGTGTCAGCAACTAGAACTGCTGATGGGCACAATTGCCAATTGGGCTATGGTCAAGAAAAGAAGTGGGAGATCCAAATCTCTTCAGATGTTGGTGAATTCTACATCCAGCAGCCCTATTTGATGGAAATGTTGCTCAAAATATCTAAATGCCCTGCCCTGGTCTAGGATTTCCCTGAAACAGGCATTTCTTGAAACATTTTTTTTAAAAAAATAATATAAGAAAAGCAGTATGCTTTGGTTCTCCTCATATTTCTCCCTACCTGATCTTACTGAAACAGTTAAATGCAGTACCAAGAGAAAACCTATATGGCACGGGAGCAATCTCTGTTGTACTAATTCTTACTTCTTGTAGTTCCTCCTTTTGCACTTCGCATCTGATGTTGTAACAATGTACTGCTCTCCTGGTAGTAGGATGCAATTCAATCAGAACTCTTAAAAGGGGGTTATTTTGAATTCATATCTAGAAAAGTCTGGCTGCATCAGATGATTCTCGATGGTGGTCAGCTTTGCTGGTGTCCAACGTCACTCCTTAGATGTATTTGAGTTCCACTCCCATTTACACCTGTAAGGTACAGAATAAACAGCATTTCCTGGATTGACCATTGACCTATCTGAAAGAAATGACAGCTGGAATACATACTTTCCTGGTCAATATAACACAAGACAAAAATTTCCATTTATGGTCTGGGGAAACTGCACTTAGTCATGTTGTCCCTTTCATCTTCTGCACCAGGGAATAAAATCTCACTTTGCAGTTTAAAATACAGAATAATTTTCTATTATATCCATTTGAGGAAATGATCAGCCCAATCACATGAAGATCAAGTTGATTCCAGGTCAGAGTTAGCTAACTAATTATAGTTTGAACAAATTAGTGGCCTGTTTGGGGACTTAATCTATTCAGCTTTCATAGTTCACACAATGAACTAAAGGAAGGAAGGGCAAACTAAATGAAGCAAGCACTCGAACCGGAACTCACTGCTGTGTTGTCACAAGAATGGTAATTTGTTGCTTCTAAATATGAAGAGTTGAGGAATTATTTTGTCATTTTTCCTAAAACTGTTTACTCATCTAAAATTTGAGAAAGGGGGTATTTTAGTTATAGTTATATTTCTGTTTTATTTTCAGGATGATTCCTTCAGAAAGGCAAAATAGTGGCAATGGGAATACAGGTTAACAAAAATTAAGACAACAATTAGAATGCCTCAGCTTTAGGACATTCTTCCTGTTTATTTAATGTAATATAATGAAATTAAATTAAAAACCAATGTCTGAAAATGTTCTTTCAGGCTAACACCGGAATTAAAAGATAGTCTGTTTAGCTCTCAGATTATAGCAAAGGGAAGCTAATTTCAATTAGTTGATGTCTACTGCTGCAATATAAAGAATCTTGAGGAGGGAGTAGAAGGAGTAAATAGGGTTATTGCATTAACTATATTGAAATAAAGTCTTTTTGAGCTCTGATAGTGTATTGAAGCATAATGTATTTCTGCAAAGCCAGTGGGGAAAAAAAAACACACCAAATGCAATGTTGTTGTTTATCTAGATGAGTGAAGCAGAGGTCAATGGGCAATTTGAATCTGTTTGTGAATCAGTGTTTAGTGAAGTTGAAGCTCAGGCCATGGATGCCCTCGGCTTGCCAGGTTGCTTCCGAACCAGAAGTCACAGTTACCTGCGTGCCATTCAAGCTGGTTACTCTCAAGATGATGAATGTCTCCCTTCAATGGCATCTTCTAACATCACCTCAACAATCAGGTCAACAACGGGTGAGTATTCTTCTTTATATATTTTATATAAGAGCTGTGGTGGTGCAGTGGTTAGAATGCAGGTTTGCAGGCTAATTCTACTGACTGCCAACTGCCAGCATTTCGGCAGTTCGATTCTGACCAGCTCAAGGTTGACTCAGCCTTCCATCCTCCCAAGATCGATAAAATGAGGACCCAGATTGTTGGGGGCAATATGCTGACTCTGTAAACCACTTAGAGAGGGCTGTGAAGCACTGTGAAGCAGTATATAAGTCTAAGTGCTATTGCCATTTTATAAGTCTTACATATAAAATGGCAATACAAAAAAGGATGGATGAATTAATTGAAAGCTGCATGTGCATCTCAACCCAGTGATGAGCAAAAAGAAATTATTTTAGTTCTGATATGATTTTATATTTTGCATACTTTTACTGTATTCTTTTTACATGGTATGTTGATTTAGGTTGATATGCTGATTTTATAATCAATTTATATTTTGCATAATTTTAAATAGTTGGGATTCTGTGCGATCTTTTAAGCCTGAGCTTTCTCAGCTCCATGGTAGTTTCAAACCCTGCTCATGCCTTTTATCCCTGAAACTGTAATAACTTAGGTGTCTGGAGGACACTGAAATGATACCAGTTGCTTTGCTGTCTCATGATTTATAAGACTGCTTAGATATTGATGGAGAAAGTGGCAGAAGGAGTGGAAGGGAAGGATGGAAAGAAAGAGAACATAGTTCCTGCTCTAAGCCAAGTACACAAAGAAACCTGAAAGCACCCTAACGAAGAGGAAGTACATACATAATCATGATTATGACATTTATATTAAGGCTTTTTCGTATGTTTATAGCTTATTAATGATTTTTAAAGAGAATTGTGTTATGCTCAAGCTTAGAGCCTGGGTGAATCTCAGCATTCTCTCTCTCTCTCTCCACTCTGATTACTCACCAGGGGATTCTGCAGGGACATAGTTTTTCATTGTTTAATCCTTCTGATCAGTGATGGGTTTCAAAAATTTTTACTACCGGTTATGTGGGCGTGGCTTGGTAGGCGTGGCATGACTTGGTGGGCATGGCTTCATGGGCATGACAGGGGAAGGATACTGTAAAATCTCCATTCCCTCCCCACTCCAGGGGAAGGATACTGTAAAATCTCCATTCCCTCCCCACTCCAGGGGAAGGTTACCTCAAAATCCCCATTTCCTCCAGATCAGCTGGGACTTGGGAGGCAGAGAATAGATGGGGGTGTGGCCAGTCAGAATTTTTACTACCGGTTCTCCGAACTACTCAAAATTTCTGCTACCGGTTATCCAGAACTGGTCAGAACCTGCTGAAACCCACCTCTGCTTCTGATGCACCATGCAGTAATCTTGGATATAATCTGCACACAGTTACAAGAGTATTTCAGACATCATAAATGCTGTTATACTATTCACTTTTTAGCAGCTTTGGGAGCTCTGGGTAACTGAAGACTGCTCCTAGGAGGTTGTCTCGACTCCTTCAATCCAAAGCCCGCCAAACCTGCCAAAGTCAAAAGTTGTTTCCTAACAGTTTGGTTAAGAGGTCACCAAAGCCTTTAAAATACCATTCACTCTGTTAATCAAACATGGTCATGCTGCAGACATCCAGATCAAGCTACAGGTTCTTGTAGGTAAAATGTGTTTTTACTTAAAACAATATTAAGTTAAAATGCCAATAATACTCGATATCCAGATCAGCTGGCTTGAATTAACTTTCTTCTTTATTTAATTCAAGCCAGCGGGTGTAGATTTTGAATCATATGAACACATTTATGATTTCTTTCATCCTAATACAAATAAGAGGTTTGAGGGGCAAAGAGAAGTGAAAGGAAAGTAGACCAAAGTCCATGGAGAGCCTAACAATGATGGGGCTCCATCTTGGTTTCTGTACTGCTTGGTTATTCTCGATTGCGACAAGTGGTCCCTTGAGGATTGTTGACCTTTATTTGAAGCTTATCAATTTTTCTTATCATAGGACTTCTAAAATCAGGCTGGGGATCTTTCAGAGTGCAAATGATGTTTATGTCATGGCTAAATGAAAGCCTTTGGGGTTCTAGATGGTGATGCTTTTCTGAATTCTAGTTCTCCATAGCCTCAGATGAGAAGACAGGTTTGTTTCTGACCCCAAGACTATTGAGCATAAAATCTTTCATCATACAGGTACAGTACTGTAGAATGTTAGATGAGCAAATGCTTTTTATTTTAAAGCAGGACACAAATAATTAGCATATTAGAGACAATTAAGCAAAAACACTAAATCAAACCACTTCATCATACACCATCAGCTTCCATGTACAGGTTTACAGTATATATTTTTCTATGAACGTGAATTGTTTACATTCAGTATTATAGTTCGGACAGCGGTTTACTAGTCATCTGTTATTTGTAAGAACAGACCTCTGACTCTGCATGCACAACTTTCAGAAATATAGTCCAATAGCTGAAACACTGTGTGGCATAATAAAGTTTAGGACAATTTTGAAGATCAGGTTATCTCCTACAATATCGACAAACAATTCGCTGCTGGCTCCTGAACTATGAATTCACTTCCTCAACCAAGTTCCCTGACTCCTTCATTATGCACATCTAAAGCCTATCCTCTTCTCTTTAATTAACTAAAGAGTTCAGTTTTGTTGTCTTTGTTGTTTACCCTATAAACCTGATGAACATGCTGCTCTAATTAGCTTTGTTAGTTTATATTGTTGATATTTGATGATAATATTTGATGATAATTATTTTATAAGCATTCTCTGAAAATGCATACATTGTGTAACCTATGAAGAGGTATTGTTTTCTTTCATTACAAACAATCAATGTACAAACGTTAATTTCATGAATTGATCATCTGAATAGAGCCTTTTGTTATAGTGTTTATTAGTGGCCTTTTCCTCTTTGCAAAGGGACGTGGTGGCTCAGTGGCTAAGATGTTGAGCTTGTCGATCGAAAGGTCGGCAGTTCAGCAGTTCAAATCCCTAGTAACAGGGTGAGCTCTCGTTATTTGTCCCAGCTTCTGCCAACCTAGCAGTTTGAAAGCATGTAAAAAATGCAAGTAGAAAAATATGAACCATCTTTGGTAGGAAGGTAACAGCGTTCCATGTGCCTTTGGCATTTAGTCATGCCAGTCACATGATCACCGAGACGTCTTTGGACAGCGCCGGCTTTGAAACGGAGATGAGCACCGCCCCCTAGAGTTGGGAACGACTAGCACGTACATGTGAGAGGAACCTTTACCTTTACCTCTTTGCAAAATAAATAAATAAATAATAATTTAAAACCTTCTAAATCCAGTCATGCAATTAAACCATGACACACTACTTCATACCAATGAAACATTAATATTATTTGTATTTATAATATTAAAAAGAACCACAGTGTATTGAGGGGGTGTCGGGCAGGGAGAGGTCAAAAAAGTCAAGATTGCAGCTATAATCATGTAAGTCTCTCGCAACACATGTAAAAAAGGATCAAGAGTTGGACTGCATGATTGTAGGTGCAGTGTTGATTTTTTGACCCCTTGTGAACAACTTTGAATCTGTTTTGAGACAAAAAGATCTCAGATGACACTGGCTTAGCTTAATGTGGAATGTGAAGCATAGATATTGCGCTGCCTTGTGTGGTAGACCAGGCAGGAAACATGGCCAAAATGAGCTAATTTTACTTTATAGTAAGATTACATGAATAGCATCTTGCAAGTCTGAAAATACATTTCTACCACCACCACCACCACCACCATCATTACCTAGGAAAGGAGGGAGGGTCTTTTCTCAGCCTCTTACCCCACCCACATTCCTGCTGGGCACTGCTGTTTTTATCTGATCATTCCCTTGTCTGTATCTCTTCATTCTGTTGTTCTGTCCCCCATCCTCACACAGACAAATGCAGTATCAAACACACCTGCCAATAATTTATTGTATAAACAGACCAGAATTCCTGGCAGATGAGAGTTCTGGCAGCTAACTGTAAAATGCCTGCCAAGTCCAATTAGTACTCCCAAAAAGCAGGAGAGACCTTATCTGCAGTCCGTTTCCAGAGCGACAAATTATCCACAAGCGTTTAGTCCAAAATATATCTGAGCCGAAGTGCAGGATTCACGATGTGACTCTTTAGAGTTTAAACTTTTGTCTGTCACAAAGCCTGCCGAGCAATCACGCCCCCTTTTATCCCTTGTGGGGGGTGGCTCAGTGACTCAGCTCAATCCCTGGCCCTCCCATGCCTCTTCCTTTGCTGCGCACGCTTCTCCCTCCGACGCTGCCTGGGATCAAGCCAGGATTCATTATTATCACTCTCTATCAATGGGTGCTCCGAAATGCCTTCCTCCTGGCCCATCCCAAGCTGTTCCTCCTGGCCTTCGGATGGAACCTGAGGCATTGCCAGAGAGGAGGGTCCTGGAGAGGGAGGCCTTGTCGGTTCCTTCCCCTCACCTTCTGAGTCCTCTTCCTCCATGAGGACAGGCTCGAGAGTCAGAGTCACAACATCTGTCTCCTGTCTCCCACATACCATTATATGGACTGCCCAATGTATTCACACTCATTTTGTCCCTTAGAGTTTTCCCTTAAGCACACACACCAAAAATAAATATAATTTTCATTAAAAGACTCTCACTTTATACATTCGATGTAAAGCAGATCATCACGTTAATCAGGAATGATTTCAGAAAGACAGGAGTAATACATATTATTGTTATCATACCCAAAGTTGGGGGAGTAAATGGTTTAATGAGAAATACATTGGAGGAGAGAAGCGCATTTCACCTGGAAGAGGTTTCTGCAACTTTGCCCCTTTCATATACATTGTGTCCCCATTGTCCTGCTGTTCCAGTTTAACACATCTGAAGGCCATACAGGGAGGGAAAAAAATCAGCCTGAAAGGTTCTTAATTCCCAGTATAGACCCTAGAAATTTCAACCTAAATCAAAAATAAATTGCACTATTGAGCTCAATACGAAAGCAGCATAAAGTCCAAGGAGCTCTTCTTAATAGAAAAGAAAATAAATATGCCGT